GTCACAAGCTGGCAGAGGGTAGATTTAGGCTAGATATCAGGAGGCGCTACTTCACAGTCAGGGCGGCTAGGATCTGGAACCAACTTCCAAGAGAAGTGGTGCTGGCTCCTACCCGGGGGGTCTTTAAGAGGAGGCTAGATGTACACCTTGCTGGGGTCCTTTGACCCCAGTACTCTTTCCTGCCATGGCAGGGGGTCGGACTAGATGATCTACTCAGGTACCTTCCGACCCTAGAAACTACGAAACTATGAAAATATAATTAACGTACAAATGAAACAGCCTGCAACTTCAAAATGAAACAGCCTGCAGCTTCATAAGATATGCAGCATTTTCAAGTAATGGCCACCCTTACAATGTTAATTTTCATACCAACATAAGTAAGCAAACCATATACCCAACTTTGCAATTAGTTTTCCTAACAAGCAATAGCACAAACCAGGTCATAAGAAATTTGACTGACCATTACTGAGGTTATCCTACAGCTAGTAAAAGACTAAGCACCAGAAATTCAATGTAAAAACAGATTTTAAAAAGTTAGAAAGCAAAACTGCAGCAATACTTACCTGAATTATTTCTTCCTTAGAATTAAAATCAGACACCAACACATTGCTACCATCTGACACTCTGGTTAGGGAAATACAGAGTTTGCCTGATGCCAACTGATGAGTGTTTTCTGGAAGGTTTTTTATGAGCCCATCTCTTATAATCTTCATTATATTAAATGAAGGATGAAGAGGACCAAGATTTCGTTTTCTGGCTTCCTTGGCTAACACCAAAACATCTGCACAAGATTCAGCTGAAAAAAAAAAAATCATTTTATTCGAAACCACTGGCAATTATTTTTGGTCATTTAAAAATACTGAGTGTACTTAAATGCTAGGATACTTTCATTACAAAAATCTATGACAGTCAATATTTCTAGCTCATCTTTGAGCAATTAGGAAAAAGTGATTAATAGAGCCTTCTGTTTGTGTACTGCTATGCATTATTAATGAAGGTTTGTAGCACAGATTGGGCACCCATTTTAGTGTCAGTTTAAAACATTAGGGATGCTGAAAATAATAGGAAATCTGAGTTCACCTTAAGCAGCTAACATTTGTTAAAATACAACTTGCCTTATATGCACTAAAATTTTAAGAAGTGTTAACAGCTATTTATTTTAGTTCACACATCCTCACTGATGGAAGAGATGCACCAAAATAAGGGCTTGCCTATACTACAGAATTTTAGGAAAACTGATTTTCTTTAGCAGATAGATGGGAGGAGCAGCTGTATGCTGATCCGTTTGGGAAATATTTATGTACAGAATCTTCATATCCAAAAAAGATGTAGTTAACAAATATTCAACTGAGATTCAATTTCTTTTACTCTGAATTTCTTCCAACTGATTAATCTTACAGCCACAAACATTTCAAGCACTAATCATATATATACACTATACCAGAGGTGTCACACACGTGGCCCATGGAGAGCTACCTGTGGGCTGAACCACACACCTCCACAAGTTAGATTCAGCCCATGGGACTTGATGCTTAGTCTGCTGGACCTGTTGTTTCAATACTGTCCTGGAACCCAGGGCTGGCAGATAACACTACTTGCCTCCCCCACCAATCTGCTGCCAAAAAAACCCACAAAAAAACCCCAAGATTTCTACTCACCCCTGCCAACTAAAAATCAACAGCAAGGGGGAGGGTGGCCCCAGTATTAATGCCCTAGTTAACTGACTTTGACACTTGCTGAAACAACAGCTCTGGCGGCTGCAAGAATTAATGCCACCAGCACTGCACACAGGTCATCTGGCCCAGTGAAAACCCACAGTCCAGATTCAGCCCGCAGGGCCAACTGACTTTAACGCCCCCATCCTAGAAGTGTAAGACGACATTCAGTTGCATCAATCAGATCAAACTACAGCAAAAAAGTTACCCTTTAGTAACGTAAATAATCCTAACAAATAAAACTACCTAGAAGCTACGACAAACAAGTTTAGCTATGCTTTATGTAAATATTTAAGGTTCTTCAATTGTGTAAAGGAGCTTCCTAGTGCTTACAATAGATTTGCTCAAAAGGAAAAAAGAAAAATGATAAATCTGAGTAACATGATGTGTTCAGACTAATAGGATGAAATATTTTTCAGAACTTACAAAACTGTATCAGCCTTGCCTCACTGAAGTAAATGGGCACTGATGGCATTCTGTACCGAACCCTGATGATCAGGTAAATTTATGAGAAAAAAAGTTACAAATTTTCATGTATATTCTTTGTGCCTGAAATGCAACAATTTTAATTATATTTATTCTGGCTCACTTAAGCCAAATACCAGTAACAAGCATTAGTTTAGACCAGCCAGCTCACACCATTTCTGATGCATCTGTCACAGAAGTCTGCTGTTCTACAAAGATTTGCTGCATAGAATGAAATTTTAAGATATCCTTAAACAATCACTAAAATCTGAATAGTTCTAACCTCAAAATATTTAGTATAATTGTACCTGCTTCTACTGTTGGGTTCCAGGAACTGCTGAGTCATGTAAAAAGTTGCAGAGAAATTTTATCTAAAAAATATAAATTATTCATTTTTGATCATGGTAAGCTGTCAGTTATACTAGTCATGGTGCAGTAACTGTATGATACAAGTTCAGATGAAGAGGCACAATCATTTTAAAATACTGTTGTCAGGAAATAAATACTTGAGAAAAGCATTTTTATGTGCTTATTTTAAAGGTAAAATTTCAGAGATGTCAAAGCCAAAGAAATATGCTTTTTTAAGTATAAGTTTTACTTGCAATATTATCAACTCATTGTTTAGTTTGCAAATGTCACTTGAACACAACAAGTGTGACCAGTCATTTTGTCCACCAAGGAAGTTGCATCAAATGTCAAATAGTATACAGTTTCAGGACAGTAAATGCCTACTTTGCCTATATGGCCTCTATAAAATGTAGGCTCCTAAGCAAAACAAACAAGAAGTTCTCTCAGCAACTGAAAGCATTCTTGACCATAAAAAAAATATTACACAAACTTGAAAATATAATCAATTGCACACTTTCCTCCAATACAGACATCAGGATTTGATACCATGTTATAATAAATACTTGACTAATGTTTCTGATCACAAAGGCTGCAATCCAAACACATTAATTGCCTTCTACTAGTCTGATTAGCAGGATGTGCACACTGATCCAACTATTGTCCCATTAAAAGGTAGGGGGAAAAAAGTAAACACCATTTTGCAAGAAAGGCAAAAAAGATACAATAAGGTTGAGGTCTGATTTTTCAGAGGTGCTGGTCAAACACTGCTCCACATATTCCATAGAACTTGTACTGCTCAATGCCCATGCAAATTATGTTCTAAATGACCTGTCAATGGGCACACAGGAACCCACAACTAAACTGGAAACAGAACAGAGAGAGTTGTGATTCAACTTTACTTTCATCAGCAGATGTAACATATGCTACTGCATTATTCCCATTCTGTTTGTATTAGTACAGTTAAAATTAAGGAGTTAAAAGCTCTAAGATTTACATACTGGCTGAGATTTTTCAAAAGTAAAGTGATTTTTAGGTAACTCATTTTGTGTACACTCAACTTCAGAACCCTCAATTTTCCTGAAGTCTAATTTGATAAAAATTGAGTCTTCTGCACTATCTGAAACGCAGACCCACTTTACGGCACCAAAAGTGCCTAGTTACGTCTGAAAATCTTCTCCTAAGTGCACAAGACTTCCCATTTAACCAGTAATAACATTATTTCAGTTAACTGAATCTTGAATTGTTTCATACAAGAAGAAAATCCATTGGGAGGTTATAAAAAATAAATTCCGTTTTTCCAGTGACAGAAATAAGATTTTGAAAGTAGCACGAAAGGGAGAAAAGAAAGGGAGTCTCTGCCAATTAGCAAGTTTGTTTGATTTCATAGCATCAGTGAGCCGGAAGGGACCTAGACAGATCGAGTCTGACCCCCTGCCATGGGCAGGAAGGAGCACTGGGGGTAGGAGGGGTCATAAGACCCCAACCAGGTGCCTATCCAGTCTTCTCTTGAAGATTTCCAGGGAAGGTGAGAGCACCACCTGTCTGGGAAGCCTATTCCAGGCTCTGGCAACCCTTACAGTGAAGTAGTTCTTCCTAATATCTAACCAAAACCTATCCTCCCTCAGCTTGTGGCCATTGTTCCTGGTGATGCCAAGGGGGGCCCTGGCAAACAGACTTTCCCCGAGTCCCTGCTGCTGGCCCCTGACAAAGATGTAGGCAGCCACAAGATCCCCCCCCTCAGTCTCCTCTTGCGGAGACTGAAGAGATTCAGGTCCCTCAGACTCTCCTCATTGGTTGAGGGCCTCCGTGGCCAGCCCTATTTCTGGTTGCATTCTTGCTGGACTATTTTAAACTCAAGGCATTATTCAAAAAAACTTTTTTTTTAAATCCTTACTTTTGAAATCTGCTAGTACCTTCAGTTTTAGCCTCTGTTCCCACATTATTCGTATAGGAGATGAGATGAAGCAGTTATATGCCCTACAGTAACCCTGTCTTGTCTACTGCAGGAGATAACTAAGCCTATCACAAGGTGACTGAGTATCAGCTCACCTTCCTTGCTCAATTACAGGGCTTCAAACTAATAACCTCAAACAGTTTATCAGGCTGCTGTTCATCAACACCAGTGTGAAATCTGCCCTTCTCCCTTGCTTTACTTCCAAAAAGAAAGCTAAAAATCTCTCATCAAAAAGGAATTTGACCTAGAAGTAAATCAAAAGTTTATTCAACTCCTCCATGAAATTTGTTAAAACTGAATCCCATGCAGAAGAGGAATAATGGAAACCTATTAGCAAGTATCTCACCATTTAAACATTAATACAGGCTATTGTGTTTTGCTGCTGCTCCTCTCCATCCAAATGAAAAAATGATTGATTTTATGAATTATGCCCCATGATAAAAAGATGGGGTTTTGAAGTGGAAAAAAAAAATCAAAGAGTTAATTCAAAATTCTGTATATTCTTTTTAAATCTTGGGAGTCCCTAGTATAGATACCTTCAGTTTCAGAGAATGACAATAAACTTTTCCCTGTAAAAACTCCAACTACTTTGATGTATTTACCACTAAGATGCTGAAGATTAAGGTAAATTTAGTAGCTACTAAAAGGAGTCTTCAAAGTTGTTTCTACCTTTTCCCTTATTCTAAGCTAAAAAATATCCAGGATTAAGAAAAAGAAGCAATATGGACATTCCTATAGATTGTTCTGTTGGAAAATGGGATTTGTTCCCGGTGTAATGGATCAGAGGGCTGAGCTCTCCAACTCTAAATCAGAGTTCAAATCATAAGGTTGAAGTAACTGCGCCCCTATACTATTTTCTACCCCCCACCCTACCAACCTCCCAGACATTTATTATTCCCCTAGAGCAATGTTGCATTACCTCACAAAATAGAAGTTTCTTGGTTTAAATAGTAGGGCTGTGTGAAGCTTTGGTCCCTGATTCAATTCCGTGGAGATTTGGCCCAATTCAGCAGCCAAATCTCCAAATCTGAATCAAATCAGGAGACCCTTTAATTTCTCCGAATCGAATTGGAACCTTCCAAATCGATTTGGAGAGATTTGACGATTCAGACACATGCAGAGCTTTAAAATGTTTTTTCTACATACTTCAAGGTACAAGGTGGTTTGTAAATGCTGTGATGGTGGGGCAGATGAAGTGTCCCACAGGAGTGTAGGGGGCTCCCCAGCACCTTCAGCAGCACACCCAGAAGTGCGCCAAAAGCACTTCTGGTGCATTTCTGGGTCTGCTGGGGAGTATGCAGGGGGCCCCCCTAT